ACTGTTTCCAAAACTATAATGAACAGGAGTGGTGATAGTGGACAACATTGTCTTGTTTCTGATTTAGTATGAAGGATTTTAATTTTTGACCATTTAGTATGATATTGACTGTTGGTTTTTCATGGATGGCTTTTATCAGATTGAGGTAGAGACAGTCTACTCAAATTTTCTGTACCGTTTTTATTATTAATTATTGAGATGATCATATGGTTTTTATCCTTGGCTCTATTAATATAGTGTATAACATTGATTTGCATATGATGAACCATCCCTGCACCCCTGGGATGAATCCCACTTGGTCAGGGTGTATGATCTTCTTGATGACCCTTGGTATGTGTTTGCTGGTATCTGATTGAGGATTTTTGTATCTGTGTTCATTAGTGAGATTGGCCTATAGTTGTCTCTTTCGGTTGGGTCTTTCTCTGCTTTGGGGATCAAGGTGAAGCTTGCTTCCAGTAGTGAATTCAGGAGTATTGCTTCCCTTTCAATTTCACTGAAGAGCTTAAACACTAGTGGCAGTAGTTCCTCTCTATACATCTTCTAGAATTCAGCAGTGAAACCATCAGGGCCTGGGCTTTTCTAAGTTGGTTAAGTTTTTAATTACATTTTCAATTTCATTGGTTGATAATGGGTTGTTTAGATTTTTAGATCATCTTCATTCAACTTTGGAAATTCACAGGAATCTAGGAATCTGACAATTTCTTTTGTATTTTCCATCTTATTGGTGAAAAGGTTCTCAAACTAGGTACTGATGATCATCTTCATTTTTTAGATCATCAGATTTTTAGATCATCTTCATTCAACTCTGGAAATTCACAGGAATCTAGGAATCTGACAATTTCTTTTGTATTTTCCATCTTATTGGTGAAAAGGTTCTCAAACTAGGTATTGATGATCCTCTGCATTTCTGCTGTGTCCATTGTGACTTCACCCTCTTCATTCCTAATTGCATGGATTTGGTCCATTTCTTTCCTTTTTTTGATAAGGCTGGCTAAGGGTTTGTCAATTTTGTTTATTCTTTTGAAGAACCAAGAACAGAAGAACTCTTGGCTTTGTTGACTTTTTTGTTATTGTTCTTTTAGTCTCCATTACATTAATTTCTGCTCTAATCTTTATTATTTCCTCCCATATACAAGCTTTGGGTTTGTCTTGCTCTTCTTTTTCTAGAAGCCTGAGGTTCAGCATCAGGTCATTTAATTGTGCTCGCTCAGTTTTCTTAATATGTATATTCCGTGCTATGAGTCTCCTGTAAGAAAGCTTTCATTGTGTCCCACAGATTCTGATATGTTGTATTGTCATTGTCATTTAATTGTTGGAGATGTCTGATTTCTTCTCTAGTTTCCTCTGTAACCCATTAGTTATTCAGGAGGTGGGTTTTTCAATTTCCATGTGTTTGTGAGATTCTTGCCATTTTTTTTGCTATTGATTTTCAATTTCATTGTAATATGGCCTAATAATATACAGGGGATCATTTCAATTCCATTACACTTACTTAAACATGTTCTGTGAACAAGTATGTGGTCTATTTTGGAGAAGGACCCATGTGCAGCTGAAAAGAATGTGTTCTGACTTTCTGGGGTGAAACACTCTGTAAACATCTGTTGAGTTCATTTGTTCAAGAGTTTGAGTGAGCTCTAGTTATTTCATTATTTTCTATCTAGTTGATCTATTTGTGACAGTGGCTATTGAGGTCCCCCATTAATATTGTGTTAGTGCTTATTTGATTTTTCATGTCTGCTAGTATTTATTTTATATAGTTGGAAGCACAAGTGTTTGGTGCATATATATTTATTAGATTTTTTTTTTTTTTTTTTTTTTTTTTTTTTTTTTTTTGGGTTTCTTTTTTTTTTTTTTTTTTTTTTTTTTTTTTTTGGTACCGGGGATCGAACTTAGGTCCTTGCGCTTGCAAGGCAGCCCACCAAACTGCTGAGCTAAATCCCCAGCCATGGTGCATATATATTTATGACTGTCATCTCTTCATCTTGGATCATGCCCTTTACAAGGATTCAGAGTCCTTCTTTGTCTCTGTTAATCAGTGTTGCTTTGAAAACCATGTTATCTGCAAATAGGATGGCTACTCATGTATTTTGGGGGGTTCTTGTCACATATTGTTTTCCACTCTTTAACTTTCAATTTATAAGTTTCTTTTTGAATTAAATGTGTTTCTTGTATGCAGCATATTGTTGGATCTTGTTTCTTGACCTATTCTGCCAATCTATTTCTTTTGATTGCTTAATTGAGACCATTAACATTGATGGTTATAAATGATATGTACTGACTTATCTTTGCCATGACCTTTCCTTTTCTTTTTGTTGGATTCTCCCCCTTTGCATTTAATTGTCATGAATGATGGATTCCTTCTGATGGGTTTCTTGGGGTTGTGATCCTCATTGTCAGTTCCTAGCATACTGTTCAAAATTTTGGGGACTGCTGGCTTGGAATTCATAAAGCTCTTAAGGTGCTCTTTGTCATGAAAGTATCTCATTTCTCCATCAATTTTGAAAGAGTTTTGCAGAGTACATCAATCTAGGTTGGAGGCTGTTTTCCTTTAGGGTTTAAAATACATCACTCCAAGCTCTTCTTGCCTTGATGGTTTGTGTTGAGCAGTCTGCCGTGATTCTAATGGGCTTTCCTCTGTGTATGATTTGTTTCTCTAACTGCTTGTAGAATTTTCTTCTTCTGTTAGGTTTCTGGAATCTTAACTATTATATGCCTTGGTGCAGATTTTTTTCTTTTTTTTTAAATCACAGCTAGTTGAAGCCCTATATGCCTCACTTATCTGTATGTCAAACTGTTTTCTGCCATTACTTCTGAGAATAGTTTTTTAATGTCATCTGCACTTTCTCCTGTTTCTTCATTAGCTCCAATCAGTCTTATATTATTATTGTTTGCATCATCTATCAGCTGTTGGATTGGTTTCTCATGGTTCCTATTTTTAAGAAATTTTTATTTTCCTATTTACTAATTGCAATCCTATCTTCTATATCTGAAATTCTATCTTCACATTGGCTAATTTTGCTGCATAAACTTTGAATGGAGTTTGTAATCTCCTGGAAATTTGTTTGCATATGTTTTATGGATTCCATTTGTTTCCTATGTTGGTATTCCATTGTGTTCCTCAGCTCCTCTATTTTTTATCTGTGCCTACTCTAGATTTATTAATCATATCTTGCACTATGGGCACAATCTCTGCTGTTATCTCAGAAATTATTTCTGAATTCTTTTTTTCCAGATCCTCTTTTGTTGCCAGTTCAGGGAGCCCAGATGGTTGAGTATCAGGTTACTCCACCTTGTTTACACTTTGAGGTTGCCATAGGTGATTATGTGATCTAGAAGACTGGTTTTGGGACTTGTTTCCCTGTCTTCTCATTTCAAGAGATGCAGCCTGCTGTGCCTTTGTTGAGGCAACTTTTTGCTCACCCAGTGGTCTTCAATTCTCAGCAAGCCACCAAGAGGCCTTTTCTCTGCTGCTCACTAGTATACCATTTCCTGGGTTCAAACCACCCATGCTATGGGGCGGGCCTCTGAATGAAGCTTGTCTATCTGTACAGCTCTTTCCTGGGTGGGCCTTGACTGGGAGGATTTGCCCCAGCTGCTGGTGTTGGGGTGGATCCCTAGCTAGGATCTGCCTGCAGCCATGCTGGTCTGAACCACTGGTCACTGCTGTCTAGGATCTGTGCACAGTCCAAGTTATTTTCAATAGCTGCTTAAGCATGAACTTTTTGCTGGTCTTCATCTGAAAAATACTTTTCCTGGACTATGATACAAAGAATTTCATTTTATGGTACTGGCCTATTTTGTGCGCAATCAGTAGTGTTTATACATATACCATTTCATTTTATTTTCACCAACACTATGACAGTTTTTTTTTTTTTTTGCGCTTTGGTTAAAAGAAAACAATGTGAGTTTTAGACAAGCTAAATGCACAGGTCACATTCAGAACATGAACATGACAGATCCAGAACTTGTACCCAGGCCTTTATGGGTTCCAAATACATAACATTTTAGCCTTTCTTAGTCCAACTACACAATCTCTGCTACGGAGTAATGTTATACATTCACCTTGGCCCACAACTTGGTATGTCTGCACACAAAGATTCACTCCATTTACCAGTTCAATGGCAAATTCCAATTTTCTGATTGCTCAAAACACTCTAGATATGAACAAAGTGCATTTAAAAATAAAATATTTGCAGAATTTACATCCTACTGTCACTGTACTATCCCCTTCTTGTCCACTTCTCACAACTGCCCACCCCCAAGACATTAAACTTTTATTATTAAATGAGTAAGAATTTATTACATGTAAGCTGTGGAACATGGTGTATGGTGGTTCATGCTGAGATACAGAAGTTATTTATATTCATTAAGTACTTGATTCATAGGAGAAAACTTCCCACAAAAATGTTACTTCCTCCTATGTGAAGAAGAAGTTGCTAAACAAGTGAGGAGAGAACACTGACCTCTAAGGCACTAGAACCTTCAGCAAGATGATGTACGCCAAATATGGTACAGAAGATAAAGTCATATATAGATTTTAGGTAAATTAAAAAGTTTCAGAAAGTTCTGGTTCCATAAAATCAGGTGTATTCGTTACACCCAAGGTGTAGTCCCCACTCAAAGCTTTATATTATATGGAGCAACAATAAGCCTGAAAATATGAGGAGTCTATGCAACCAGCTGTGTGCATGCATGCATGCATGTGTGCGTGTGAATCTGAGAATATGTGTATTGAGTGGGTGGGTGTTTTAACAAAACAAGAACTAGCTTCCTCTGAGGCCTGGCATTTGCTGCAAACAAACCCAAGTACTAAAATGTTCAACTGCCATCATGGGAGCATTTGAAACTAAGGCAGAAATTAAATTACTGAAAGAAATTAATGCAAAGCTGTTACTGTAGTCTTTTGTGCAATTTATAGTTTGCACAAATAATTACATATTCATCCCACCTTTCCTCCCTTTTCTCTCTCTCTCTCCCTTCTTCTCCCTCCTGCTCTTTACCTTGTCCTTCTGGAGTCTCACCAAAGGGATTCACTTCCACCTGAGTAGCATCAATCTTCAGGAAGAGATTATATAGCTTCTTAATTTGATCTGCAGCCTAAATGTGATCAAGTGAAATAGAATTACATCAAAGCAGTAAAAGAAAATTTATATTGCTCAATTAATGAAACCTTAAAAATAGCAAATTATGTCCTTATTTTCAGTTAGGTTTTCAGAAGTGAAAAAGAGAAAGGCATAATTATTTTAATTTCTACACTATTCATTAGAAGGAATTGCTCAACTTTCCTCCAGATACCAGAAGAGACGATTATCAAGAAAACAAAATATTTCAGTACAAACTAAAAATGTTATCAATCTTTTTGTAAATGATCAAGCCCCTAATAGCCAAGTTAGACTGCAATACAAGATACAATTATTAATACAAACAAGCTCCATTTAAGTAAAAGGTAAACATGATTTTGAGAGTTTATAATGATTGGGTTTTCCTTATTATGCTGGAATTATATGCATCAATACAGACTCATAATAGGCAAGGCAAAACAATTACTGAGTATCTAATGGAAACTGCTATAAAACAGAAAGATTAAAGTTTTTAACAGTGTACTCCAGACTGGTAGAGTTTACACTGAAAATAGCTTTATCCCAAAGGCAAAAATCACAAAGGACAAGATTATCCAAGGTTTCCCTAATATGACGAGAGTTCATTTTTTTCGGCCTGTTTAATATTTACCCATTTATTCTTTCCAACAAACATTTACTCACTGCTGATGTCAGCGTAGGGGAATATTGGATGGACTGTGGCTGGGGATGACAATGTAAATAAATCTAGATACCACCTGGGTAGTTTACACTTACAGTGAACAGACAAACCTGTGCCATTATGGCTGAATAGTGGGTATCAGTTTTACTCCTGGCTTCAATCTATTTCCCAGCTGTGGTTTTCCTACTGCCATCTTGTTCATTGTGCTAGCCCTGCACTCCTGATGATCAGATCCATTGAGGCCCTGTTCCACTCTGCTGTGTGTGCCAGGAGTCTGACTTATAGGCTGAGTTTACATGATTGCTGGGTCAGCGGGCTACCAGCTCAGTTATTCCAAGTGGAAGCAGTGGTGAGAGAAAGGTGGGAGAGGGAGAGAAAAGCCAGGTATTCTACTTCAATGTTTCTGCCTTAAGCTGCCTACCCCTCCAGCTGTTGCTCCAACTAGAGGCCCTCCCCCAGGGCTCTGGCTTCAGTTTCCAGAGGTTCATCCACATAGCTGACTCTCTTTCTAGAGCATATGGAAAGAAATTGTTCCTTGTCTTTGTTTAGCTCTATTCCTTGGTGTGCCCGGAAACCCTGTAGCTCTTGCAGTCCCTATATAGCAAATTCCTTAAGATAAATCCCAATCAGGGTCAATACTGAAAGCAGTTCCAGACTTGAGGAAAGAATTTTGGTAGATTTTCTTCATGTTATCTTAATGCATTATCCTAACTTGAAACCAAGTACATAAACAAATAAGTATCCCTAATGAGCTATTCTAAGTATTTCATATTAGATATTTTTATGGATAGAAAACACATGGTATAAAACTCCCTAAGAACACAAGGTTTTACTGTGAATGCACCTCCCCACTCCACCGGGCTCCTCAGTATCCCACAGCAGCCACCTTACCAATACGTGCTTCGTCTGAGTGGTATTCTATGCACATGCAAATATATATTTTCATCTTAAAAAATGATTTGATACTTGTATCTTTACTCAACAAATTTTAAACACCCTTCACTGGCAATGTAAGTAAGCTCTAATTCTTAAAGTGTTCCTATCATATCTCAACATATGGCTATGCTATAATTCTAACTGTCACTTAAATGATGGCCACTTGGATTGCTTCTAATAGGCTGATATTATTTTAAATGCTACCTTATCTCTACAGGTGTATCATACATGTGATTGACTATTTGTAGGATAAATTTACATTTTAAGTGTCAAAGGAGCCTATGAAATTGCTCTTGGTAGAAGCTGTCTGTAATTTCCACTCCCACAACCCAGAATCCCAGAGACTTTTTTCACTCAGACCCATCAACCATATGGATGCCAGAGAGTGTAGTAAATGAAAAAGTATCTCTTAAACAGTTTGGATTTTAATATCTTTCATTATGAATGAGTTTGAGCATTGTTCTATGTACTTAAGAGACATCTGCATTTCCTTTTCTATGAACTTTGCCCATTTTCCTATTGAGATTTTGGTCTTCTTCTTATTAACTTAAAGGAAGTATTTTTATGTAAAGGAAATTTGCTCTTTATCTCATGCAAACTGCAAGTATTTTTCCCCTTTTAACCTTTACCTTTAACCCATGCTTTTGCAACTTTGTGGCATGGAAATTTAGTAAGAATCATGTCACTCTTTTTACTCTGGCTTTGGGTATTGTGTTAAACTTTCAAAGGCCAATCTCATTCTCAGACTTTTAAAAATTCTCCGATCACTTTTAAAAATCCAAATAGGAATTGCAATTAAATGAAAAGTTAATTTTAAAACTACTGGTTGATTTTTTTTTTTTTTTTTGAGATGGGATCTTGTTATGTTGCCCAGGCTGGTTTTAAATTCCTGACCTCAAGCAGTTTTCCCAACTCAGCCTACTGAGTGGCTGAGACTACAGGTGGGCATCACCATAGCTAGCATTTTGAGGGTTTCTGAGTTATCACTGTGAGCTTGCAATACAGATACAAGAGAGAGCAACTTGTCTACCCTGATGGTGGCTTCCATGGTACTTCCACAGCTCCAGCAGAGAGTCAGCATTTAATAAATATTAGGTGAACTGATGATTAATGTTATTAAAATAATATGGGGAAGTGACATAACAGAAATAACTATGGGCAGATAAATTTATAAGATATTACCCCAGCCACTTCAAAAGTTACCTTTTTGAAAAGCTGTGGTAAAATACATGGAACATAAACTTCACCATCACAAACATTCTTAAATGTCCATTATTAGTGTCAAGTATATTCACTATGGCACAACCTCTCTTCAAAACTTTCTCTTGTACCCAAATAGAAACACTAGAGCTGGGGTGGAATGCTGTGGTCTGAATATGATTCAGCCCTCTGACACTCATGGCCATCGAGAAACTTAATCTGACTGATTAAAGTCATCAGAATGGGGAACTCATGATTAAATACCAGCAGCTTTTAAGAGAGAAAAAGACCAGAACACACACCTGTTCCCTGTCTCTTGCTATTTTCAGACTCTGCCAGCAAGAAGGTCATCACCAGATGAGGCCTCTAGACCTCAGAACAGAACTATGAGACAATATAAACCTCTTTTCTTTATAAGCTACCAAACTCCAGGCATTTCACTATAGTAACACAAAATGGACTGATACACCCATTGAAAATAAGCCCCCATCCCTTCTTCTGGTTCTGACAACCACCTTGCTACTTTCTGACCCTGACTCCCCTAGGTACCTCATACATGTGAAATCATACTGTATTTGACTTTTGGTGAATACATTATTTCATTTAAGGTTCTGTCTGTGAGTCAAGGCCACTGCAATCATACATTAGCCCAGTATGGTGGGAGGAGGTTTGGCTATTTTAAGTTTTACTTTTGGGCAAAAATTAATATGTACAAACATTTTGTGAGCAAGGTTAAAGCATGATTAGCTTTGTATCATGAAATCTACAAAGGTTCTCCCTTATAAGATGTCTTATTCCAGAGATTATAACCTAAATGGTTCTAAGGACTCAGCAGGCAAAATGTGTCTGTCTGAGCAAGTATACTAATAGGGAATGGCAGGGCATGTGACAGGTGGAGATTAGTCCAATTTTTTTTTCAATTTGTAACCACTATATACGAAAAAAAAAGTGTTTCCTTTTGCTACAAGTTCATGTTATTTTCAGACTTAGGCAATTTAAAAGTTAAATCTCTAAAATCAAATATATCTATATGTATATATACATATACATACATATATACATATGTGAACAACTTAAAAAGTAACTTCAAAAATTGTTTAACAAGTTAAAGGATTTCAAGTAACTTTTATTACATTTCAGAAAGTATTAACATTCACTTAGGGTTCGCAAACCTAGTCAGATGTAAAAACCATTCTCCTGGTATTATGGATCTTGTGCAAACTTAGCCATCAGATCTTTTCATCAGCCTCAATACTAGAGGCACATGGTGACCATACAGAGCATCTAGTTTTGAGAACTAGTACATAGTAGTCCCATCTTATCCTTGGGTTCGCTTTCCATGGCTCCAGTATTAGAGATCAACCCTAGTCTGAAAATATAGTCTAGAATACCAGGCTACCTTAAAAGGCAGAGAGACCACATTCACATAATCTCATTACAGTACATGGTTATAATTTATCTGTTGTATTATTAATTACTATATGTAAAGTCTATACATTAAACTTTATAATATGTACGTCTGTATAGAAAAAACATAGTTTATATAAGGTTTAGTATCTTTCCTTAGTTTCAGGCACCTACTGAGGGTCTTTGTATGCAACCCTCTTAGATAAGGGGGGATTTTCTAGATAATAAAATTAAGAGACACTTAAAAAAGCATACCAATTTTTAGTCATATTAAGCTTTCCTGGAATTACAGATTTTTTTTCAACAAACTCCTGCTGAAACCAGTCTTAGTCTGGGGCATATATTTGTTAGTTTTTATGTAAGCTGAAATATAACCTTTATTTTTTGTTAATATTAATAAATCACAGTTCAGAGACAAGAGGCATGAATTTCAGGAAAAAATCTCAAGATATTATTTGATGATGTTCACTCATAAGCGAGATGTCTCCAAATGCCTAAAGAACATACTAGATGAAAATTAAATAACTTTAAAAATCACACTAAATCTAAGGGACTTCCAAGATACCATTTCTTTTCTTTTTTTGTGTGTATGGGGTGGTACCAGGGATCTAACTTGGGACCTTGTGCTTGTGAGGCAGGTGGTGGAACCACTGAGCTAAATCCCTGGCCCTCAAGATAACATTTCTTTATGAAATGATCAGTAATTAAATGTTTTCCCTTCTCAGATCTCTTCTCCATTTCTGCACCCTGCTTCCCTAGCACGTCTAGGTAATCACCATGGCTTGAGCAAGAGATTTCCAGATCTATAACTGCAGCCCTTGAGCACCACTTTACCTTGGCTTCCATGCCTTTCTACCTTTTTATTATATAAACGTAGCTCCATGTGTCTCACACAGATTCCAACAAACCCGTAACTGAGCTATCTCTATCAGAAATGTCTCTCTCTCTTTCTCTCTCTCTCCCTCTTTCACTGACTGCTCCTCCTATAGTCTCCACCATCTGGGTGGTCTCCCCTGCTCTGTGAGCCCCTGGAGGAAAAGACCTAGTTCTCATTGTCTTTCTTCCCCAAGCACAGCAGAGTTAAGCAGCACCTAGAGTTCACTCTAAGCATCTGGGCAAATAAAAATTTAGAGCCTTTTAAAGTGTCAGCAGTGAAAAAAAAAGGGGAGAAAAATGAATTAATTTCCTTTCTTTGCTTGATATACTAAGTTCAAAAATATAATTATAATATAGCTACTTAATAACCTCTTCAATGCTCCTAAAGTGTTTCAGGCACTGGTAAAACATGATTATACCATTTAAGAGCTATAAATAACTCAATTTCCACTTACAATATTTAGGCATTGGGGGTGTCTTATGATGAACATAATACTATTACTGCCTTCTCTAAAATTCCTATTTTACTCACCTCCTGAGCTCTCAAATGACGAGGTCAGCAGATTTTGCCCACTCCAGATTTATTCTTCTACCAGGTAGAGCCACCTGCTGATAACTCCCTAGGAAATGCTTCAAAGCGGACAGCCTAGACGTCTTGTTTCTCTTATTTCCACACATGACAAATGTCTCCCAGGCAACTAATATACAGGCCAAGCACTCTGTGGGCTGCAGGCAACACAGCAATGCACAAGATGGACAAAGTCCCTGCTGTGATGAAGATCAGGATCTAGCAAGGGTGACCACACATAAATAAGAGAAACGTTGAAGCACAAAGTGATACAGAGGAGGCAGACAGGAGTGCGCTCGGGAGCTGGTGTAGAACAGCGTGTTAGGACACAGCGACTATAAGGAAAGTGGCTGTCAGTGATCACCAGCTCTAAAGGAGAAGTCCCCTAAATGTCAAATGAAGCCCGCGTGTGGTTAGCAGCCCCATTCTGAGAAGGTGAAACTGACCGTTACAGCACATATCCAGGAATTCCTCTTGTCTTTCAAAAGTCACTTCCCTCCCCTGGCATCTCTTTTGCAGTTGTCCAATGAATGCTGCCCTTTCTTCTCCTCCTAAGGCTGAGTCCCAGATGATCCTATCTCCTTCAACCCCATGGGACTTTTTGCTTTTCAAGGGAATTTCTACTCTCATTTTCAAATAAGTGCTGTCCTCCTTTCATTTAAAATATACGTATGTATGTATATTCTACTTTAATTCTCTAACTTGCTTACTGTCATCATTAAAGTTCTACAGAACCAATCAATCAATCAATGCAAAATTCTACTTTAATTCTCTAACTTGCTTACTGTCATCATTAAAGTTCTACAGAACCAATCAATCAATGCAAAGGTAAAGAAAAAAGTACAAAATCTACTGTGTTATAGGAAGAGTGCTGCTCAACTAAATTAATGGACATTCAGTCAGTCCTCTGTAGCTGCAGGTTTTGCATGCAGGGATTCATCTAACCACAAATAGAAATGATTCTTCAAAACAAAATTGTGCCTAAAAAATAAAATAATTTCCATAGCATTCACATTGTATGGGGTATTATAAGCAATCTAGAGATGATTTAAAGTAAATGGGGAAGGGGTAAATAGGTTATATGCAAATAATATGCCATTTTATATGAGAGATTTGAATACGTGTGAGTTAGATATCCTTAGGGGTTCCTGGAACCAATTCTCCATGAATAGTGAGGGATAACTATACTCAGGAACTACAGGTAGACCCACTGTGGGGCCCTAGGAGAGGAGTGAAGGGAAGGGAGGGGAGAAAGGAGAAAGAGATCAGTTATTTTACTGTCATTAATAATAAACTCCTTAACTAACTGCTATTCTTTCATAACTAAAGGGCGCTTGAGATGAGTATTAAGGTCTTGAAGGTCACTAAGGGGCTCCAGCCCAAGGAACATATACACACATAACCTAAGAGTGGCCCCGCTGAGTAATGGAGGAGGGGAAGTAGCTGTTCAGTTCTTCTGACTCGGCTGTGGGACAAAGATGCTTGCCTGTGTAGGCACACTATCAGGCACATGATCTAGAACAAAGGCAGGGCAGCACCAGGATGTTCATGACAGATCTTGTTCTTCAACAACTTGGAGGACAGTTTTCTGTGGTTGATGCCAAGGGATACTACTATAAAGTGTAGCATATTTTAAGCTCTGCTCAGTGAAATATGACCTTCAAGACATTAATACTCATCTCAAGTGTCTATCGGCGATGAAAGAACAGCAGTTCGTTAAGGGGTGTATTATTAATGACAACAACAAAATAATAACTGATCTTCTCTTTTTTTCCTCTGCTCCCTCTCCTCTCCTCCCTTCCCTTCTCCTTTCCTTTATTTTCTTCAAGTGCTCTACTTTTGCACCACCTCCCCCACCAAATAACTGATCTTTATGAAGTACTTTAATAAACACTTTCACACACCATTATACTAAATTCCCACCATACACCCCTCAATTAGTGGTAATCATGCCCATCCTACAGATGCTAAAATTAAAATTAGGATGCACTGAATCCCATAGGTGCTAGCTGCCAGTATCAACACTGCTACAAAAACCATAAAGAGATCATCTATACGTCACAAAGTGCATGTACCACATGTAGCACATATACGGGCAGCACAAACATGCACACACACATTATAAACATTCCCTTCTGAAACACCAGGAAATATTTTTCTTCATCATAAACTAAGGAAACAATAAATATTAAAATATAAAAAATAAATATAAAACAATAATCCTGTTTCCTGGTAATCACAACACCAGAAGTAATTAAGCAGGTTCCCAAATGTTTTCTGAAAGAAGTCAGACATGCTATCCCTCAATGGCTTATGTACCTGGTTTTTCAAAGGCCCAAGGAAGCCCAGATTTTCTGCCATCCGCTGAGCTTGGCTGTCCTTTATCCCTTCAAAAATATCAATTGGCTCCTAGTAAAAATAAATCAAATGAACAAAATTCATACAGTCAAGTGAGAAGATTTACAACCTCAGAAAGAAAATGCTTAGTATTAATTTGCAAATGAGTAATTAAACTGTGGCACCCTTCCAGAGATCTCTGAACAGGGCTACTCCAGCTGCCTATAGGGTATGTTTTAATTACCAGACAATCAATGAAACAGCCCTTCCAAAAACTATATAATTCTTCAAGGTGGCATGCTGACAAGACGATCTGACGCCAGTTTTCACTTTTAATTACTATACAGATGGCACTGATGAATATTTAGTCAGTTAATTTTTATGACATCTTTTGGAAGCCTTCCAAAGAAGGTTTTTCTGCCTAATATTGCTGTTAAGTTTAGAGTTGTCATATTTAGGTTAAATATTATCCTCTGATTTAAACACTCTACTGATGATGAATATTATTAATACCTTAGCTCTCTACAAAGTACCATTCTCAAAATACCAAGTGCTACTTATATATATTATTTCATATATTCTTTTAGTAAACAGAATTGTTTCCAATAATGATAATTTTGAAAGTGGGGAGGTATTACTGATAAGCCTATATGTAGTCTCAAACTTCCAACGTAGTGATCTTATATATGGAACATTGGCAATAGTATTTTTAAATGAATCACTATTATATGAGTGCATTATCTAGACAAAGAGATTTAGGAAAATAAATCCCTCCTTTTCAAAATGACACAGAATCACTTTGTAGAAGAAAAAACACGTTTCTATTGGAAATTGTATAAGGACATTTAGAATCCAGATTAAAAACTGAAATGATAATTTTATAGATTTTATATATTTTCTTATATAGTTACAATAGAGTAAGAAGGATTTTATAAACCTCACTTCACATAATCCTTATAGTTCTGCAGGGCAAAAGTCACATCATTTTTATTCTTTCAGTTTGAAAAATGAGGCTTAGAGTCTGTAAGAAATTTATAAACCAGGTATGACTAAATATCTCTTTGACTAGTCTTATAAACGGGACAAGACCTCAAAGATTAGAACAAACTGACAGTAACTGGATCTTAAAAAGATTTTATTTTACTCAAGGTAGTCTGTAGTTCATAATCTGTCTCCTCAGAAAAAAATTCTTGAACCTTACATAACGTTAAACAAAACAGAGTTAACTAGGAAACAATGAAAATACCACAGTGCCCTCCCATTGGATAACACTTGGAGCAGGCTGGCTGAAAAGGAATGACAGAGAAGGGAAAGAGGGCGGAAAAGAGAAGGAAAGAAGGCAAAGAGCGAAGGAAAAAAAAAGCCCTTGAATATTAACACTTTGATTCTGTCCAACTTTCTATTGGATCTCCAACAAGAAAAGGGATAAACATCTAGTTTACTTTGTGTTTGTTTTTATTTTTTTGAGACAGGGTCTCACTATGTAGTTGAGACTGACCTGAAACTCACTATGTAGCCCAGGCTGGTCTTGAACTCACAGCGATCCTCCTGCCTCAGCCTCCCGAGTGCTGGGATTACAGGTGTGCAACACCACTCCCGGCTGATAAACATCTAGTTTAAATCTCAGAAACAGATGTTTTGCTTTCAGGCTTAGACTCTGCACTAGGAATTTAACAGATTCTAGAATAACAATCCATTAAAAACAGCATAGCCAGATACTTAAACATACCTTAAAAATAAGTTCTGGATTTGAAGCGGCCACCTCTTCGATGTCAACACCCCCCTGGGGGCTGCCTACCAGCACAGGGCCATTGCAGGCCCGGTCCATCAGAATCGCTAAATAGGTTTCTCTGGAAATGTCCAGGGCTTCTGCGACCATCACCTAGTACATTAGTGGGAAAGTCAAATTAATTCAGCATCGAGCAAATTTCCACTTGGAAATCTATACAAACTCACTACACAAATCAAACAACTTCATTTTCAGCAAGTTAAACTAGTGAGTTTGCTCCAGGAGACTTAAGGCTTCTCCTCCCATGGTACACAATTTCCATTTTCACCTCCTAACTAGATTGTGTTAACTTGTTCAAATGACAAGTATTTGGTGTGCCGCAAGGAATGTTTCCACTTTAATCCTTTTTACTTCCTTTCTTGAGAAACTCTGTTGCTTAAGAAAAACTCCAGGGAAGCGGCTGTTATTTTAATTTGACAGATTAACATTACATATATATCATTATACTGACTTTTTTCAGATTTCACTGGAAAACCAAATTTGATTACTAAAGAAGGATTCTTTTATAGCATATCTGATATTTTGTATGTTTGTATAGCTCTGTCTCTTGGATCACTGTATTTTCTTTCAGTTTATATTCTTTTAGTTTACAAATACAATACATGCTTGTTCAAAAATAATGCAAAGCCTCCCAAAAGTACACAAGCAAGGGAGTGAAAGCAGCCATCTGATGCATGTCCGCCACATCCTCTATGCTGCTTAGGAAAAGGTGCATCTTCCTGGCTTCCCTGGAGAAGGCAGCCACTGGCCAGGACCCTGGTTGGGTAAAACGCAAGTGGGGAAGGATTCATTACCCCCTCAATGCCTCACCCAGGTGCTCTTTGCTCTCAAAAACTTGAGTAAATGCAGTCCCTTTCTGTACCTATCTGCAAGCACTACAGGAACAGAGAATCATCCCACACATGGAAGCATGCTGTACACACTAGAAAGCTTTCTTTTCTTAAAATCTTAACCTTACAACTAGGACATTTTTGTAGGATCTCTTTTTTCCCCTAGGATCGTTCAGTATATATATGTTAATATTTATTTAACAATGTTCCTACTCACAGCCACTTAAATGAATTTCCATTTTTCTAATACGCTACTGAAGTCATTAGTTTTTGCAGATATCTTTCCTTAATTGGCATATCCCTGTAAAGTAAGATGGCTAGGTTTAACTTCTGAATATTTAAGATTTTGGTAAGTAGTATCAACTTGCCCTTGAAAGAGGCTGTCTGAATTTATATGCTCAATAAGAACAATGAAGGATATTATCTGGAGCCATTCTACGTATAATTTTTTGGGGAAAATCATTTCATAGTCAAAGTATGACTATAGCTGTCTAAGGCCCAACGTCACCTTGCCCATGAGCTGGTTATGGCATGCAGAACATTAACTGTGTTTTGCCAAGATAAGGCCTCAATGGTCCCCTGATACTGTACTCTTGCTCAACTGTCTCCCATTTTTAAGGGGTATGGGGATCAAACTCGGGTCCTTATGCTTTCAAGGCAGGCAGCAGAACCACTGAGCTAAATCCCCGTGCCTCCCTTATTTTTAAGCTATCTTTCATTCACTAATCATTGATCTCAGCCCTGTCCCCTAGATCTGACATTGTCTTCACATTGGTCATTTCTACTGCCCACACTTTGAATTGTATATTCAGACTCCCAAATTTCTGTTTAGAACTTTCATATGAACTCCAATTCTTTTTTTTAATATATAAATCACTGAAGATGACTCTAGAAGTTATAAAAAAGAAGGCAAACAAGCTAGAAAGCTTGAAATATAAGGTGGGGAGTCTTCTGTGTCCTCTTTCTGCTTGTGACATGATGCTGGGGGAGCTGGCAAAACAGAAATGCCAATAGGAAGAGATAAGGAAATCTCCAGGTCCAAGGAGCTTCATTAGAAAAAGTTAACAAGCATTTAGAATGGAATTAAAACCAAGTATCAAGAAACAGGCTGGACAATGAAGTTGAGATTCCAGTGCCACTTATAATTGCTACTGAAAAAAAGATAAATAACAGGTGCAAATCTAACAAAATCTAAGCCAAACTATCCAGTATCGATGAAAGGAATCAAAGCCAATCTAACTATAAGAAGAAACATAATGCATTAATGGACTGTGAGACTTAATATAGCAAAGACATCAATTTTCTTCAAACTGATATAAAGGCTTAACACAAAAATCTTAGCAAGATTTTTACAGATAAAGATAAGGTTATTTTAACTTTGGAAAGGCATGGGAACTGAAATAGGTAAACTGCTTTGAAAAAGAAGAATAAATGAGAAAATCAGTCTCCACCATTTCACAACTTACATAGCTGTAGTAATTTAGACTGTATAGTGGTAGAAGGATAAATAGATAGACCAATGCAAGAAAACAGAGAAGCCTAAAACAGGACCAACAAATATATCCAGTGCATTTCTGACAAAGGTGCCAGTGCACTTTAGTAGGAAAGATAAGCCTTTTCAGAAAGTGTGTCAGGAGTAAGTGAACATCCACAGGTTGAAAAAAAGACCCTCAACTGAGGCCTACCATCTTCTTCAAAAGTTAACTTGAATTTGAGCAAAAACTTAAATATACAGTATAAAAATGTAAAACAAATAGAAAAATGAGCAAATTTTGTTACTTTGGACTAGGAAAATGGTTCTTAGATTTCATACCAAAACCCAATCCATAAAAGAAACATTGTTATGCTGCACTTGATCAGAATTAAGACATTTTCCCTCCACCAAAAACCAAATGAAACAAAACATTAAGGACAGGAATGTACAAGCTATATAACAGGAGAAAACATCTAAGAAGCACACATCAAACGATTGGCATCCAGGATATATCTCAGAACTCAACAGTAATAAAATAAATAATCTAATCAGAAAATGGACAAAACACACTGTCTTTGACGATCTGTGCTGCTATAACAAAATACCAGAGTCTGTACAAAGAACAAAAACTTAAGCTAAATGTGTGGTGTATATTTGTAATCTGAGACACTTAAAGGCAGAAGAACAGGGATCATAGCTCATGAGTTTGAGGTCAGCATGGGCAACAAAGTGAGACTCCAGCTCAAAATAAATAACAACAACAAATTATTATTATTTCCCTGTAGTTCTGGAGTCTAAGAAGTCATAATTAAGGTGCTATCACTCAGCAGCTAGTGAGAGCCACTGTGCAGTAAAGGTGTAAGCTAGGTCCCTCCAGATCTATTAGAAGGAACCGTAATGTAATCCATTCCTGACAGCAGAGCCCTGAAGGATTCTCAAAAGGCCCTACCTCTAATGCGACAGCAATGGGAATCAAGTTTCAGCATAAATTTTGGAAGGGGCATTCAGACCACAGCAAGCCTGAAGAACAGCTTATCACAGAGAATATACAGGATGCAAGTAAGTAAATAAAGAGGAGTTTAACATCTTCAGCTATTAGGGAAATGCAAATTAAAATCAGGATGCAGTATTACTCCACCCCTATCAGAATGGCTAAGATAAAAAAATACCACTACCAAGTGCTAGCTAGGATGGTTACTCATACATTACAGGTGGCAACATAAAATGACACAGTCCTTTGAAAACATTTGTGAATTTCTGAAAAAATGAGTCACACAACCAACATAGGACTCAACAATATCTCCCCAAAAGGAAAAGTTCACATTGACACCAAAAATCCAGTTACACGAGGGTGCAGAGCAACTAAAACAGGCCAGAGGCCCCTCAACAGATGATGGTTAAACAAACTGTCTGTATTCAGAATGCTACTTAGCAATAAAGAGGCACACGCTCCTGAAACAAGCCCCTCCAGGAATGTCCATAAAATGAAGCTGACTGGAAAAAATTTTCCCAAAGGTTATATAATACTACCTGATTTCATTCGTGTAACATTTTAGAACTGTTTGTGCTCACTCAAAATTGCTATGCTGAAAGCTCATCTTCAATGCAATGGCAACTAGAGGTAGAGCCTTCGTGACCGATTCGACTGTAAGGGAGGAGCCTGAGAGAAGAGATCTGTACTCTTCTGCAAAGAAGCCCAGAAAGCTACACGTGTTCCCACATGTGGGAGCAGCAAAATCTCGGCATTCTATAAATGGGTCTTCACTAGACACCAAATGTGCTAATGTCCTAGTCTTAGACTCCCGCCTCCAAATTATAAGAAACTCCCATTGTTTATAAGCCATCTGAATAGCAGCACTGTTACCACAGGCCGAGCATACTGTGACAGAGGTACCGAACACCTCCTGTCTCGGGTTTTTAAGTGTGTATAACTGATTTAATCTATAACAATCCTTCCTAGCAAATTATTATTATACCTATTTAAAAATTAGGCATTGGCTATTAAATGTTAGAACATCTTTAAACACAATACTAAAAAGAAAAAAAAAAACTTTCTGCCTGAAAACATCATTGCTATATACCAGAAACCAACACTATGCCTTGCAAATAAAAGTAGCCCAGATCATACCTCTCAAACACATAACAAACGTATGCAGGTTCTTACTCTTATGATTCATGTAGTGTAAATCATTAAAAGTTTATCCTTGTTCTGTCAAGCCGCATGGTAAATACTAAGTAATGACTTAATCCATAAGTCTAGGTCAGTTCCTCATCTTCTCAACCTTAATGGATCCAGGAAGATGGAGTGGACACTGAATAACTTGGAAAACAAAAACTTTGGATCCAGATGTTGCTTTTCTGGCAACATTCTATGGACTTTCTCTACTTGCACATCCTGAAAATGAAAGACATGGCCATTATAATGTCTAAAGCCTTTTCCATATATTAGAGTATTCAGAACATTCACTGTTGTACTGCCCCTAAAAAACTCAAAACAAATGCCCACCAATGAGTGATTAGTTAAATGTTAATTACATTTTTTCATGGGAACACTATGCCCCCAACAAAAAAGAAGAGATGAAATCATATGTATTTACATGCAAAGTCTTTCAGATTGTTTATTACATGCTGTGGTTGTGGAAATGTGACAAGTGACAATTTACATTTAAAAAGGAAAAAGGGAATATTTAACAATTATTTCAGGGTGGGGTGATAGCACAAGGAACTTTTACTTTTTAAAAATTTTTAAATTTTTGTATTATTGGAATTTTTTACATGTGTTAAGGACTTTTGCAACCAAAAAACTATTTAAAAATAAATCACTTGTAGTTTTCTGGCAATGACTCAATTTAGAAGAATGCCATTATCTCCACTATTTCAAGAATGTATCTACAAACTAATTTTACATTGAATTCTATTATTATATAGTGTGAATTTGCTTTGTGTGTACATTTTTATGTGCTTTTAAAAAGTTTCACAAACTCCAAAGTCCCATGTGACCATGTAAAACACAATCCCTACAAGTAAAAATACTATGCTGTCTGTGAAAAAATTCTGAGTAAGTTACACAGGTAAAAGATCATAATTAGATTTAAAGGGTGATAAAAGTAGAATTCCAGGCTGAAAAAGAAAAAATCAACAAAGATGAAATACTTTGGAGTTTTAAACAGTTTTTCACACCCACTGAAGGGGCAGCAGTAGAGGGAAATGATCAACAGCAGTTTTCTTTTTGCTTCCTCAACATTTAGAAAGGTTCAGGGCTCTAGTAAGACAGAGCTCATGACCTGTCAGGATTCCGTTGTCCCTCCAGCTTAGGGTCCTTATATGGGACAGGGTAGATACTCTCACAATACACTGAGGACTACCTAGTGATTGTTTTTAAGTCATGTCAAGCGGTTTCCATAAAATTTTCTCTCTGAAAAGTACAAACAGAAAATACTACCTCAGTGTCCAACAAGCATGGCACAATGATAGAGATCATAAATCTGTGTCAATAGAACAGACAGTTGCTTACCCCAAAAAGCAGGGCCCCAAATTACTACTGGGACAGGACCTTCTAACCATGACTCCCTAGATCTGGCAGACTGGAGGCCCAGATAAATTTTATTCCTGAATCTGTTTTCACTATAGCTTCCTTGAAATTTGAACAAGGGTCCCTCCCTGCCCATTTTATTGGCACTGGGTCCTGAAATCAAATAGCTGGTTCTGTTCCTTCCATGCACGAAGGGAGACTGCACAGCTGAGAAAAGTGGTAGGAGAGGTAGGTTCTGTCCTCAGCTCTGCCATTCAGAAGTTCACAGCTGAGACAGGCTACTTGTCTCTGAGCTTTACTTTATGTGTCTATGTTGCACATGTGGGTATATGCATATATAAGGTGTACAACCTTATACACACTTGAGTGTCTCTGCAAACTTCACTGATACAATATACTACCAGAAATGAAGGGAGCTCAAAATCTTAAAGTATGGTATAGGGCAGTGAGGTGAACCTCTTAGGGCTTTCAATGACAACAAACAGCCTGCTGTAGCACGTGTGTCACAGGCCCACCACCAGTGGTTTATGGGCACTTGGGAGAAGCACAAGAGGTAAGTATGATATACAGGACTAAAGGTGGGGCCAAAAGGGGGGAAGAAGTGCCCCTCCGTCAGTATAAGGCTGTCCTACTAAACCCTGCACAACTTTAAACAGAATATACCTGTCTTCATCACTCACCCCTACTCAATTTTACTAGATGCAAAAAATAATAAATAAAATATCACAATTATAGAAGGCTTTTTATTTCTCAAAGGCACAGTAGTTGCAAATAGATCACAGGTTTAAAAAATTACATGGCAAACTGCCAAAGAGCAGTGCTTCACTCCATGCTGTCAAAACTGAGGTATGATTTTCTTTCTTTTTTTAAAACATATATGAAGAAAATAACCAAAAGCATCCATATTACCTTGTTAACTTTCACACCTTCTTTCGGAGTTTGCTTTGTTGCTAGATTATACCCAATCATCTGTTCAGCCAGCTGTCCCACAACTTTGGGGCTGAGGTTGAGAAAAAAAGAAAAGAAAATCAATGTTTGTTGAAAGTCATTTTCTGCACAGTCCACACAGCCTCATGTCTACAGTGCATAGGGCCCACCCCTATTCCCAGAACCCAAATCTTTCCACTCATCTCCTGTGTGCCTAGTGTTGTGCTAGAGCTGACAGCAAAATACAAATGCGTGAAAGCAAGAAATGTGGGATGCTTGCTGATCTCTGCAATGTTTTTGCTCTGATAAGTTACAATCATCAGAAAGAGACAATGCTGAGATATATAGCAGATTTAGACAAAAGCTGAATAAATATTTGAGAATGGACACTTTGGGAAATACTAAACAATGAGAGGAATGAGCAGGAGGATAAAGATTAAAGTAAATAATGAAGGGTATACAACGGCCAGGGATGAGAGGAACATGTTCAGTGTTGGGCGATAACACTGGAGACGGACTCAGAGGAAAGCAGGCATACACTACTGGGTCAGAGGATCTGAAGCCACTGGTAATACAGAGCCACTCGAGGTTCTTTCATAGCAATGACATTATAAAGCGGCATTTCATTTGCAAGTGGTACCATTTCCAGCATTTATGGTGAACTGCTTATTGTACAGGAGAGAAGAAGTATACAATTTCCATCAATTAGAGGGAAAGAAAACTTTAAGAGAGCAGAAGGAAATCTGGGGCACTGCTGGACCACCTGTCTCCTCTACTTGCTGTGGCCTGCTCTAACCCCACCCCAACACTCCTCAGTGGGCCTTGCAATCATGAGCAATGCTTTCCACAATCATGTGGCTCAAAGACAAGGAATTAGAACCCGTACACTTACTCTCTTGTTAAATGAACACCTCCTTTCAGACCACTATTGAAGACACCTTTTCCTCTTCCTCCAGCTAAGATCTGGGCTTTTAAAACAATTTCTTTTGCATCTGAAAAAGAAGAGTTGGTTGTTGATTTTAAATTCATTTTCTTCTTTTTGTTTAATAAGCAACAAAGAAAGCAATAATGATATATAACTTCCAAATACCAGGCAAAAGTGCCCTCAAATCAACTTTGAAAATAAAGACAGTAACTTCAAAAACCATCAGTGTGCCTAAATACAAAGCCTGTTTATCAAAAGTATTCAAAGCTTCCCACCAGTTTAAGCAGCCAGTACTCAAGTGTCCCAAGAGAAGTAAGGCATGCACTCTTCTTGTTCTGTTCAGTGTGTCAAAAGATGCTAATAGTAAACCCAGGACGGCAGTATTAGTTTTACTGTGCCATGACACTCCCGTGTGATGGGGCACCGATCTGCATCAGAGAAGCTAACTGTCAGCCGTGGGACACGTAAAGACCAAGTTAGGAAGGGAAAAGGTTTGAAAACAAGACACAAAGGCCATATTTAATAACTGTATTCTTGGAAACCAACAGGTTTTGAGCAGTTGTTCTATATATTGACAGGACTGGGCAAGGGGAGAGGAAATGAAGAAATGGATTAGTATATGCGCTGCCGAAGTGCTCGAGCACACGAAATGGATTAAAACTGAAAGCAAGAAATATTTTTAAAAATGTTGGCAAGAAAAAAATCTTGGGGGAAAATGGTTGTGGAATATTTGTTTCTCATACTCAAAAAGAGAATGAAATTTGTGTTTTTCATCTCTTAAAACAAAGTTATAAGCCTGAGTATCTTATGAGCCTAGCAGGAAAGTTGGATGTATGAAAGAACTCAGCGATAGACAATACCTTTGGCAAACAGGAAAGTGGTGGTGGTGGGGCAAAGAAAGGGACAGACAAGGAGAAAAAGAATCAGAGAAGGGAAAGAGGGAAGGGGAGAAAGGGATAGAGGGGAAGGGAGTGGGACGAGGGAGGGAAGAAGGGAGGGAGGGAGAGAGAATGCACTAAATCAAGCCAAAAAATGTACATCTTCAAAGACCACAGCTGGCATCATGTTTATGAGTCACATTTGTTTAAAATCAGAGAACTAAATCAGACATCTTCTATGGGGTTGCTGTGATCAATTAATTTATTGTCTTTTTATATTGTAAAGAATCAAAACAATCATTTCAGAGATGATTAAAGAAAACCTAACATTCACCGGTATCTCCTATAATTCATGCAAGGTGAGAGATCTCTAAGTGTTGGCTATTCCAGCCATCACTTTCACTATATCCTTGTTACTCATTAGTGGGCAGGCAATGGTTAAAACTGGAAGAACCACAGAGTGTTACCCTACAGGTAATGAGGAGCTCTACAGGAGGATTTTCACACTGGCTTACAAGGTCACTGCCACAGATGCTCTTACAGCAACAAGGCTAGGTCACAGTCTTCATGGGTTGGTCTTCTTCTTCCTACATGTACTTATGTTCGGAAAGCCAGGGCCACCTTCCTCCCAGAAACACGGTTCCATCTTAGAATAAATCTTCTACACACTTGGATGACAGTCTGTGCTTTCACATCATCAGTTAACTGTGATTTGTAATTCATAATAAAGTGGTTACCATCAAGCTGAAAAGAAGACAAGCTATGCTCACTGTTCATTATCAGAAACTCACCAGAAAAAGAACCAAGTGAATCAGTTTACTGTATATTTGGGCTACTGCATGTAAGACTAGTAAAAAGAGCAAGGACATTGGAGTTAACAAGACCTGGGTTAAAATCTCCAACTCTAGGGCTGGGGCTGTATCTCCATGAAGAGCACTTGCTTGGCCTGCATGAGGCCCCTGGATTCCACGACTACCACTACAAAACAAACAAGAAAAACCCCACAGCTCTGACGCCTATTATTGTTTTTATAAAGAATGAGATTCAGAAAGGTAAAGGAAGCACGAATTTGTAAAGAGGTCAAATTTGTACCTTTATCATAAATGAAATACAGTACTTAAAATGATTACGCAAATACGTGGCACATTTAAAAACAATGAAATTATGACAGCTATTGTCATAATTATTGTCAGCATCTACCAAAAAAGTATGTAGGAAGATATCTCTAATTTGTCTTTAGAAGATATCAAGTGTAAAAAACTACTTACTCTTTTTTGTCTAAGCAAATGTTTAATTGTGATAACTTTACATCCTTTAAAAGGCTAACTAGCATTCCACTGCCAGTATCATTTTTCATATCCTCAGCATACAAGAGAGAGATGCGCACCTCTCCAAGCTGTCCAGCAGCTCAACTTAAAAGCCAGACAGCACACCTAATTGGGCATAGTTAATTGGCAGTACGTAGGCTGTGATGAGATCAGCTTTGGTTACTAACAATCAAGACAAAGAAATGGCTGCAGCCTCAGTGAAGAGTTGTCAACTACTCTCGTTACCATCTGACCTCATTTCAAATAGAGGCCATGATATGGAAGTGATGGTACATGGCCCTGGACAGCTAGTAATGTGTCCCTCCAAGACCTTAACTTTTTTTTCTTTTTTTCTGGTACCGGGGATCGAACTTGGGCCCTTGTACTTGCAAGGAGGGCAGTGAAATCACTGAGCTAAATCCCTAGCCCAAGATCTTAAGAGTATAAGATTTTTAGGGATATTTTTCACAGCTCTACTGCACAGTGCTGGAGGACAGACTGTAACAACGAGGAACACTGCATACAAGAGGGCACAGTGTAGTGCTAAACTCCTGCTCACAGACCAGTGCAGACCTGTGCAGGTTAAGGGTTCCGTGTACCTGTGCAGCCTGGCAAGTAAACATGGTGATTCTTAATATAGTATTTCAGCCCACCTAGAAAAGTGTGTACCTGTGAAGACAGGGCTTCATTATTATTGCACAGATGTATACATTTTCTTATTTAATTATTAAACTTGGGCTTATAATTTTGGTAAATAATTTAGCAAGTTAAAATATAAAAAAGGAAATTTTGTTATTTATATGGATTAACTATGTTATATATTTTATATAGGGCCCAAGGAAATTCCTCTTTACTCAAGACAGCCTAGATGGGCCACATGGGTGAAGGCCCACATGGTGGACCAAGCCAACACGGTGGATGCTGAAGCCACCCATTAGGACAACAGTTCTTCTTGGTTTTCATTGTGGTGCTAGGGGTTGAACTCAGGTCCTGACACCTGCAAGGCAAGTGCTCCACCAGGGAACTTAAACTCCAGTCCTAACTATGAGGGTGAATAGAAAAAGGAAAAGGAAGATATCATTCAAAGGCTGCAAATACTCTGCAACTCAGACTCCAGGCCAAGAGTAAGTTCACAAAAATAATCTCAAATACTAAACCACTACAGCAACTTCAGAAAAGCTGGTCACAAAGTAATTTAATTAAAATAGTTTATTTATTCAACAGTTTTTCCAAAAGCTCACCCAAATTTCCCCTTTTAAAAACACTGTCTCCTGTCCTATCCCAAAGAGTTATAAAAGAATGTCCCATTCATGAAATTCAACTTTCTTTTGATGAGTTGATTTAAACATACTTTAAGATAAAAAGCTAAAGAGAAACGGGGATAGGTTTTACAAATATATTACACCTATACATTAATAAACATATTATTGCACTGCAAGTTGATGTAATTCTAAAGTGCCTGCTCTTAAATATGTAGTAGCCTAAATATGCAATACATGTACTATATTTCATTCCTTTTCCAGTGAGTTTCTGATAACCGACAGTATGTACACCTGGCCAAGTTTACACTGTTTTATTGGAAACAGCCAGTTATAGTTTTTAAATATATTAGGAGAAAAAGCAATGGAAGACATATTTGGCAGACTGACAAAAATGTATAAGACTCTCAAACACTGTACTGTTTTAGAGAACAACATTGAAAGCTACTTAGAAACCTAAACAAAACCTTACACATAGTCCTATTTATTGTAATGTTTTGTAAATGTTTGTCTCTCATTCTTTACCACGAATGTAATTCAAATTATAATACAATTTGATGCCAATTTTTATAGTTTTCTAAGTCTTACGCTACAGAACAAATATTACTGGATGCATTGTTAAATCTAAAGGAAAAAAGTTAAATTCATTAAAAGAACTTTAAGTAGAATAAATAAGAAGTGTTTTTAATCAGGCAAGCTTTATAAAAATGATTGCTTTGTGTTTCAGAGATGGCATTCTGAAATTATTATTTTTGTAAAATAATGTTCACGAGACACAGCTAGGAACCACAATGGGGACCACAGTAACTGTGTGAGAATGTTAATCAAGAATGTTAGTAACTACTTAGTTTCAACTATTGTTTTTAAAACAGTTTACTGATGAATCAAGTATTTGTATAATCAACCTACTTTTTATTCAGCATTGCTCTCACAAAATATATTTTCCTACATGCAAAATACAGCACTGTACATGATGCTGCAGTAAGATGACTACCACAATGATCATCTGTTTCAAGTCAGTAACATTGGACTTGTTGTGGAAACTGTAATTTCTATGGTTCACTGAAGGGAGCAAAATTGGAATATCCAGTTTTGAACAGAATTGCAGTGTGTAATTGCAGTGTGGAAGGCGATCACCTTTCATCAGGTTTGATAGAATCCTAATTGAGACTGTTAAAATGTATTTCAGTATCTCAGATTAACCTATTACCAGAAGGCAAACAGAAAGGAGAGGGGAAGGCAGGAGAAGATTTGAAAGATATTATGGAAAGATGAACTTTTATAAAAGAACATATAATTATAGGGAGATAAGTATGAGAGGCCTAAGTGCCAATTTCCCAAAGGAAATGAGCTAACTTCTGTCCTTTCATTATTACTTGTGAATCCCAAACTTCAAACCAGTTACCAATATTCAATTATTACTATATCTCCTATAGGCTGAAAGGCACTTCCTCAGGTTGTAACTAGGTTTCTGGGAACACGAGGATACTGTGATGATTCTTTCCATACACCCAATGGCAACTCTGAATGGAAACAATTACTCCAACTTCCCAGGTGCTTGACATGGGCTCATCAACTTAGGGACAGAGAATTGCAAGCTCTAAGACATATGAATAAACCATT